CAAATAGAGCTGTCCTCTCTTTGGGATTCTTCATGGCAATAGATTCCACAGCACCCTAGTAGAGATCAAAACACTCTCCCCATTTAGAGCCTATCCAACCCAGTTCCTTCTACCCATTTCTACTCAGTTATTCAGAAAAAGGTCTCTGACCCTCTCCCCGCACTAGGTGCCACATTTCACACTGGGCCTTGAGGACATGTTCCCTGCCTCTTGAGGTGCACACAGAGCAAAAGAGACAAAAGCAAAGACAACACCATGTGTTATGTGCAGTGACAGAAGCAACACAGAAAAAGCACTAAGTGAAGCTTGGGGGTAGGAGACTGATAGGAGTGTCTATCCAGGAAAGCTTCCCAAAGGTGACATCTAAGTTGAGTTTGAAAGATGGGGAAGAACTAACCAAGAAAGTTAAGAGAGAAGGTCATTTCATGTAAAGGACAATTAATATGCAAAGGCCTGCAGGCCAAAGAAAGCAAGTGAATTTGGGGAACTATAAACAGTTTAAATGAGCTGGAATGCAGGGTTGGAAGGGAAAAATACCGACAGGTGAGGGGCTAGTAAGGTGGGCAAGAACCAAAGGATGATGTTTCCTGAATGCCAGGAGTTTGGAGTTTATGCTAAAGCAATGATTTAGCATGCATAATAACCTGGAGAGCTTGGTAAAACACTCAGTGCTGGGCCCCATCCCATAGTCTCTATGTCTATAGATCTGGGATGGGACCAGAGAAGGTGCATTTCTAGCATGTCCCCAAGTTGATGCTGATCCAGAGACTATAATTTGAGAACCACCATCATAAGACAATGAGCAATCACTGAAATGCTTTAAGGAGGAAAAGGAAAGAAACAGATTTGTGTCTTTGTAAGATGAACCTAGCCTAAGGGATGAACTGGAAGAGGACAGACTGGAGTCTTGTAAGCCCAGTGAAGAAGCTGCTACATTAATTCAGGGGAGAGATGAAGCTCAAGATGAAGCAGGCCCAGTGAGGATGGGACAAGGATCAGCAAAGAGCAGACAGCCAATAATTGTTAAAAATGCTCACCTGGAAGACGAGGAAGTTACGAGCTTTGATGAGAATGCCCAACTTCTCTAATTCCTCACTGTACTCATGTAGCTGAACCACTTTGTTGTTGATCTTGTACTCAGAAGAACCCCCTACAAGACAGTGCATGAGTTAGCTGAAGGTCAGACATCCACCTATCCCAGTCAACTAGTCTAGTCACCTCCCGGGACCCAAGGGGAGCCTTCTGGCCAGCCTCACCCACCAACAATGACACGGGCAAAGGTGCGGTCCTCAGCACCCTCCTCAGAGTAGACCATGCTGACAAAGGCCCGATTGGCAGCTGGCTTGCCCACAGGAGCTCCATGGATCAGGTCCCTCAGGGTCTTTACTCGCAGGTTGCTGGTTTTCTCACCCAATACAAAGCTGATCGCATCCATGAGATTTGACTTACCTAAGGGAGTAGGGGACAAAGCAGAGGAGGGGAAGTCAGGGAACACTGCTCTGCCCCCACCGGAGCCCTGGTTCAAGGGCTGAGAAAAACAGTCCCTTTGCAGCTATTACCTACAGCAGTTAAAGACTAGAATCCCATCTAAGGAAACAGCATATTCACATAATGGATTGTTCTACAACCATTAACGACACGGGGAAATGCCCATAATAGAAGAAATAAGCAGATAATATAACTATAACAAAAAATATAGTTTGATCTCAACCAAGTTTAAAAGTTAAAAAAAAAAAAGAGCTAAGGGAAGGTGATAATGGGGAGTTGCTGTTTCCTGTGTACACTTTCAGTTTTGCAAGATGAAAAAGTTCAGGAGATCAGTTGTACAATGTGAAGATACTTAACATGGCTGAACTGTACACTTAAAAAATCGTTAAGATGACAAATTTTGCTATGTGTATTTTACTATATTTTTTAAAAGGCATATTCCTATTGTGATACGATATGACACATACAGCATCATCTATGAAGTATCTTGCCAAAATATTTAACCTAAATCTGAACAAGCCTTTAGACCTACCTTCCAGTTTACAGGAAATATAGTAGTTAGAGGAACATAGTAAGTGACACTATGAAGAAACCTTAAGACAAACACAGAATGTGGGATACTCTCCAAGACAACTGGCCTGGTTTTTTCAAAAAGTGAATGTCTAAAAAGAAACTTGTGGAGAACCACTCCAGAACACAAGCGATTACTGAGAAATAAGCAAAGGCAGTGCACGAACTTTGATTGGATTCGAGTTTCCCTTTAAAACCAAAACCAAAACCAAAACCAAAGCCAAAGCCAAAACGACATTCTGGGGAACAATTAGGGAAGCTTGAATATGAACTAGATAACTGACGACAACAAGGAAATTAATTTTCCCGGGTGTGATCACAGTCTAC